TGCATCTGCACATATATGTTTACAAAGGTGCGTAAGTTGATTTTGTATTTCCGAGCATGTATATGCACATGTACATGTGTTCGTATGTGCATCTGTGTATGTGTACGTGTACGCGTGCTTGACATGTTTGTCGTCTGTATAGCCGGATGTACGCAATTGTATGTCGTATGTAGGTGTTTTCTGTTTTCTGATAGATGTCGCTTGTCGCCTTAACCAGTGCAGCCAGACGGCCAACAGCCAGAGGCCAAGCAGATCATCGACCACAAGACCCAGTCACTTCTGCGGCTTGACTGAGATTCTCGTGAATGCCCTCCATGTAGATTAAAGCATCCAAAATAAGCGGGACTCCGAGGAACGATGCCTATCATCGAGCCTCCGAGTATCTCAGGCCAAGCCCCCGTTCGTTGAAGATTTCAATTGTGTTGTCACGGCAGGCCTTTCAAAGGCAGTCAATCCTTGGTCGCTTTAGTCGCCGACACCGGCCTTAGGACGCACCGCGACGAGCTCCACCACCTGGCGAAGGCACGGGTCTCCTTTGGGTGTGCATAAGCGAGTCTGTATTGTGACATCAAGTGCTGCAGACATAGCCGAGAGAGTCGTCGTCTTCAATGATCCGTATATTTCCAAGCAGACGGATCCCCTTAGTGTTTCTAACGTGTGGTCCTCTGAACGAAACAGGCGCTGATCGAGTACGAGACTCTCAGTGCTGAGGACTTGAAGACACTCCCTCGTGGCGGCATGAAATCAAGATGTCGCAGTGTCATCGCAGACGTGCGCCGAGAAACCAGCACTTCTCAGCTTTCTGTTTCGCTGAAACTTCACCTTTGCATCTTTCGGATATTCGAATCCTTTCGAGAGGAAATCCAGCTAGCGATCAAGGGCCAGGCACAGGACATTGGCGGCCGCCGGAAGCAAGAGGTCCGTGCACTGCTCTACGGGTTGGGTTCAAGGGTCTGTGAAAGCCTCCAGTCAGCTTGAATAGGCGGAGACGACGAAGAAGGAGATGGAAAATCTCACGCCGAAGGAGACGCTGCGGGTAGTGAAGCAGTTGCGTTTGAAGTACTCGGCCTTGCCCTCATCTGATCATATCTGATCGTGTTGTCACCCCGATCCGTCGCAAAATTTGCCCGCCAGGAGGGGGCGAAGGTGCCAGCGCGGCCAGAGCCGAAAAAGGCACGACACACCCCGGACCTCTTACTTTCGCATTGCGAGGAAGGACCTCGGCTTGTCGCTTTGGTTCGCTTGTCACCGGGCTTCTGATGGCTCAGGGACGCTTTATAAGCTGTCGCAGACCGGGACAGGTGCCCAAAACCTTCGACGCGCAACCTGCTGCGGAAGAGTGACGCAGGCCGCCGTAAGCCACCGCCGCCACCATCGCCGTCAGCACCAGCACCCGGCAACAGCAACCAACAAGAAGGATAGCTTGTCAACAACCCCAGCTTCCCACATCTTCCCACATTGTGATGCAAGTATTGCGGAACTTGACCAGGCAAGACGTCAACCCCTGAGTCTTCCATTGCGATTTTCGGGCCAAGCTGCTAAAACTGGCAGGTCTGAGAAGCCCCGTGTACAGATGTGTCACCCCTTAGCGACAGTTCCGGCTCTTGCTCCGTGGAGTCCATGATGCAGGGATACTGCAGGCGCAGTCGGAACTGATTCTGCGGGTTTTGGACCAGGGATCGCTGGCACAGCGCAGTCGACCCCGACGCCGGAAAGCTCCGAGAGCGGAACCAGCGAGCCTCTTCGGGAAGGATCGAGAAGGGGACTCCGAGTCTCTGGCCGCCTCTGGCCCGCCTGGATCCGGTTTATTTAAAGCCCGAGGCCTGGGACGAGTTTCCTCTCAGCTCGGGCCTGGCGGACACCGAAAAGTAGACCGGAGCATACCGGAGCTTTGGGCCTGTGCCGAAGAAGTTGCTCAGGGCGTTCTTTGAGGCTCGCATGGGACGCATGCCTGAAGTCCCCCGTGCCTCGAAGCTCGAAGCCTGCAGTCAAGCCAGGACTGAGCCTCAGCAACCGCAGCCCATGCACCCAATACATTCCAACACCCCTAAGCCCCAAGCCAAGACCTTGAGCCCTGCAAGCCTCACCCCCGAGTGCCCGCAACTGCCTGGGCTCCTGCTCTCGGACGATGCGGGCTGGGGGCCAAGATGGTGTGCAAGTTGAGAAGCGGCGAAACTCACACGCAAAGACACAGACACACGCTGCCTGAGCTCATCACGTGTGTCATGCCCGCAGGCCCAGGTTTCGGCTTCCAGCACCCTCGAGGTGCCTGGGCTTGAAAGAGTCTAGCTGTCCTCGAAGCTGGGGGAGCCAATGAAGGGGGGACCGCCAAGGGCTTCGGCTGTACAGCCCGGCCACGAGGAGCAGGAACAGCTTTGGCCACTTGACTCAGACTGAGAGCGCCCAGAAGGCCGCCTGTGGGGTTCAGTGGGTCTTTTGGTCGGTGCTAGCCTTCGTTAGCACGATCTTTTGAGTCTAAAGCAGATACTACTCTTTATGCAGTCCTGCCATGGACCGAGATGCTGCGGTGAAGGCGTATGTTTCCTCGAGAGATTCCAGGCTTGAGTGTTCGGTGGCCCTGTTCCTGGCCACGAAGACTCCCCGGTCGGCTCGACGTCATGGCTCCAGAAGTCCAAAAAATCCTTCGACTACTCGCGTCTCGCGTCTGTCTCTCTCTCTCTCTCTCTCTCAAGCGATGCATCGTTTTGGATCCGGCAGCCAGCCGAGGCTGCCTCGACGGTGGATCCCTTTCATGGCCCCGTGGCCTCGGCAGAAAGAGGGTATCCTTTCAGAGTCTGTCCGTCTCAGATGCTGGCATGGTCTTCCCAGGTGCCGATCCGAAGGCGAGGCCTTCGCGCCGTTCTCGCCTTAGGTTCTATGACATACTCCTCGTGTGTTTCCGTGGACCCTCTCCTGCATCCTGACTTGTCAATCGCATCTGGTTGATAGAACACGTGTAACCCGGGTAGGCAACAGGAGCGCAGAGTACCGCAGTTGCTCAAGCGTGACTCCAAACCATGAGAATGTGCCGAACGGGGGCTCCGATTGCTTGTTGGAGACAACCAGTTGCCACATCAAGTTGCGGCGGGGCATAGGCCTCGTTCCAAACCTCAACTAGTGCAATTTCCAGAGTGAGACGAGAGCCATAGCGATCCCACACGACTCTGCCGTGGCGCCGCGAACCCGCGGCAATGGAGTTCCTGCCGGACCGGGGCGGCAATCAGAGTGGGATGTAAGCCATCGCGACGTTGACATGCTCGCTTGGAATGGAACGTGCCGAATCCTTCCAGCTGTGCATTGTCTGACTGCCTGATCTGCACGTTAAGTCTGCAACATTCTCGCAGGCAGAAAGGTCCGAGTCACTCAGCGGTGGGCGGGAGAATACGATGACGAGTGAGGAGCAGGAGCCCGAAACCTTGGCGCAATTAGGGCTTGCAGGAAATGAGGGCACCATGTTCGGATCCGTCCGTCCAGCCGCCTGCTGCCGAGGAAACACTGGAGATGGTGGAGGCAGAAGCAGAGAGCGTGCCGGGTGCTATTGGAGGGTGCCAGCTCTCACAGCATGTCATTGGAAACACATTACACGAGCAGTCTCTGTGGCTTGAGTCCTACTGGCAGTGAGGTAGACAGGGCCTGACTCCAGTTTACCTTGCAAAACTTCGGCTGATGAAATGGGACTGCAAGCGGCCCGTGTATTCCTTGCCACATAGGGTGCTACACATGCTAAACGCGACGGCTGTCGTCAAGACACGAACTTGTGCCATATGTCCAGGCTGCACTGGGCTGAGCACTGATTGTTTCGTGTACTACTCCCGGACCATCGTTTATTGTCTTTCTGGCTGCTACTGCGTGCTCGCCCTGTTTCCTTGCTTGGGTCGGCGTTGTGCAGGCAACAGTTGAAGATCTGACGGAAATGGAGGAAGAGGACGTCGGCGTTTGTGAAAGTTGAGTTTTCTTGTTAGAGCGACAGCATTAGAGCCGTCCAACGTCGTGGGAAGCTGTACTCCAACCATTTCAAGACGTGCGCTGTGCAACTTCAGAATCACGTCTTTCATGCTCAGGAGGAGGAGGAGGAGACCACCGAAGCGGAGGAGAGTAACACTCCGAATGGCATGGTCAAGCATGTCGTTTGATGGCACTTTAGGCAGCGTGCAGCTGAAACTGATGCGCTCCCCGATGGCCTGGCTGCAAGTGATGTGATCGTTTTCAATGTTGTGCTAATCCAAGGCTGTCTTCAACAAGTATGAGACAGTTTACGACGCAACCTTCGATGAGCTGCACCTCCCTGCGGAAGTTTGCGACGAGATTAGACAGACGTGGCAGGACCATAAGCTCAATTCCAGTCTGTCAGAGTTTGTGCGAGCTTGATGTGTCCAGATACTATCGATCGTACCAGGCCCTCATATCAAAGATGGGGTCTCGAGAAGCAGTTGGGGAAGCAATTTATGACACGATCATGGACGAGGCCCGGGGCTTGCGACAGTGATGGGGTGGCTTCGGGCCAGATTTCAATACTGCATGCTGCCTTTCTGGGCCAAAGTTGACTGAAGAAGCTGAAGTTCACAAGCTTATCACAACATGATTCCCTTGTGTGGAGCTTACGTAGTCAAACGTGAGCCTGGAGCAGGCACCGGGCCTGAAGCAGTTCTTCAAGTCGCCGAAGTCCGCCCCCTGACAGCCAGAGCGCCGCAACGCAGGAGGTTGTTTTCTGGACTTTGGGAGTAAGCACAAGGTCTCAAAGTCCAGCCAAGGTCTTCGCGCTGCGGTTTTCGAATGGCATAAACAGTGACTTGGCCGCTTTGCGCTTCCGTCTGTTGGCACCCTGGCCGCGGCCCCAGGCATGCTGTCTGAGCTGGACTCGCCGTCTTCCTTCAAGAAAGTTGTGGAGACCCGAAGCGTTTAGCTGTAGCTGTGGCCCGGAGCAGTATCCGGAGCCTCAAAAAGGCGGCTCTCGTGGAGTGGCTCGCCTCGGCTCGCCTCGCAAGGAGACCTACGGCTTCATGCACTTGGATTTCGCGGTGACGGTCCCTCGGGTGGAGCTCGTCCGCGAAGCCATCATCAGCGTCGCAGACATGGAGCTAGGCAGGGACGGCAGGGGGAGCGCGAGCGCTGCGTCCCCTGCGTCCCGGCGTCGCACGCAGGTGGCAGCTTCACTGACAGATCGCGCCAGTGCTTTATCTTGTTGTTCAACTACATCGGAGGAGCTGGGGTCTGGGAGCTGTTGCTACCGATGCAGTCATAGTTGGACAGCTTCCCCAACGTGGCATTCCGGGGTGATTCGTGTCAGGAGCATTCGTGTTCGTGCTGCGAGAGCTCGCAGACCGAATCAGGATGTGACGGGGGTGGACGCTTTGGGTTGGGGATGTCTGCGGCAAGGGTCTCTCTCGAATGCCATTAAGTCTCCTTCCACAGGCCGGAACTCGGCCTGAACGATTTCCTTCCTGTGGGAGGATCATTCAGCGCAGCTGGCAGCAGGTGAACAAGAAAGAGACGCTCGAGAACGCTGTGCTTCCGGAAGGCCGCAAGCATCCGGAGCTTCGGCTTGTGGTTTCGTTAGAAAGTTTCGAGCAGGGCCTCGGAGAGCACTGTGCAGTCAAATCACGCGAGACTGCGATCATAAGATGCTACTGGTAGACTGCAGCCCTCCAGGTGGCGACAAAGACCCGAGCAAGCCAGAGGAGGACGGAGCGGAGTCATTTTGTCTCGTTTGAAGAAACGAGCTGCTCGTGTCTCGGAGTTGCAGAGCTGCAGGAAGGAGAGGAGAGCAGCCCCCAAGCGGACAGCAATGCGAATAAGGCCACGCGAGCGGGGACTGCGTCTGCAGAGGTAGTGTCGATGTGGCTCATCGTGCCCAGGACTCAAAGAAAGGCCGCGTCCAGACCAAGCCAAACCCAGACCAAGAACAGCAGAGCTACTGAGCTGCTATGGAGGTGTGGAATTTTCGTGCGAGTCAAACGAAGCCAAGGGGGTAGCTTCGTGGTCGGCACAAAGAACAAGAACCCAGCGATGAAACTCGGCAAGGGCTGAAAGGATCACCTGAGAAGGCTCATGAGCCATGACATCTTAGACGGCAGAGACATCTTGGGGCTAGGCTGCTCTGTGGAGAATTGGAGTTCGAAGCCCGGTCAAGGTAGGGTTTTGACGGCCAGACCGAACGAAGGCAAGTTCCTACGGACTTTTCGGGCATGTTCATGTTCAACGCCGCCGTGATGGGCTTCGCGGATCCCTGGCAGCCTTGAGGTCTTTCGGAACCCGCCTCCAGGAAGCCCGAAATGCAGCTCGTTTCGGGGCTTTGGCTCAGCACCGCAGAGCTAACACTGAGGCTTCCCCAAGTGATAGTGACAGAGTGGGTGATGCGCCAACAGAAAGCTTGCCCACGGACATGTTTACGAGCATCCTCCCAACTTGCGGGAGCGCAGCCGTGGCCAAAGCTTAGCTTTGTCTCACGAGGAGACTGCATGGATGAATCTGGTGCTAGACCGCTTCGACAACATTGCCTCCAACATAGCCAACACATCGCGGGTCCAGGTACGGCGAACAGTGTAGCTTTTGCACTTTTGGCCATGTCTGGTTTCGGCCTTCCGGCAAGATTCCCAGAGAAACCTGCAGCCCCACAAATCGCTTTGCCTGCACTAGAGTCGACATGCAGTCCAGTCTAACTCTTTTGCTTCAGGCTTGCTGCACTGCGCTCGTTGATACCGGACGAGTGGGACCCTCTTCTGAGCAGGGGGTCGGGGCTTCGACCGCGAACGGTTGCACCCTCCTTCACTGTCGAAGGACATGAACCACGAAGTGGCATGGAACTGGCTGTGGGAAAATGTCGAGCGAGTCGTGTGGCGCTCAGCTAGTGAATACGGTTCAGAGCATTGCAGTTCTCCTGCTGTGCCATAAAAGGGTGATGCTAGGATGGTGTGAAGCGTCGCCTGCAGGTCTCAAGCACGGTCCCCTTACCGCGGCCCTATGAGAAGGCGGTCCGCAACTTCATGTTCGGCCTCCAGGAGGCTGGTGGAGTTTTTGAAAACTCGGTGAGTGCGGTAACTCGCTTCAGTCGGAGGAACAGCTGCAGACCATCCGCATCAAGACATACGCCGACTTCTTCACGCGCTGCCCAGCCGGTCAGGCCGCTGCAGGGTATGCAGGGTCCCCTTCAATTGGCCTTCGGCCTGTTGTGCTTCCCAACAACATATGTAGTGTAGCACACTTGTGTGC